AAAGATTTTATGAGTAAAAAATGCTCAAAAATGGACCAAAAAATTTGTTAGTTTTTTTAATTTTTCACAGACTTCCCGGGCACGTAGAAGCTTCAATTAAACGTCAGGTGAATTGTCTTGTGGGCTAGAATAACGCGAAAAAAACTGCATTTTAATATTCTCAACGGTTGCCGAATAAATTAGAAAAAACTGAAATTATAGCATGACCCTAGGGTCACGTATTGTATTCCGATTTTGGATGAAAATTTTTTGTTTCCGATTTTGATGATTTTCACAATGTTGATACCTTATGACATAAGGTAAATGCTGTTAAAAAATTTCGGTCGCACTTCAAATAGTTTTCGAGAAAAACGCATTTTTAATATGTGACAAGGAGCGCTTGGTTTTTAGCGAATATCTCGGGAACGGTTTGAGCTATCACAAAAATTTTTGCACCTATAGATACATATTTTAAATGCGCATATTTCATTCATACACACCATGACCCTATGTTGAATATTTTCCGAGATACAGGCGTTTAACTGTTTCAGAGTTGAAAATTTGAAACTGTTTTTGGGGTATATCTCGCGAACGGCAAGAGGTATGTTAAAACTTTTTATACTGGGTTAAAGATCTTTTGATTTAGAATATTTCGCCTGAAAACATCAATATCCTATGATGAATCGTTCAAAAGTTATGAGCGCTTAAAGATTTTATGAGTAAAAAATGCTCAAAAATGGACCAAAAAATTTGTTAGTTTTTTTAATTTTTCACAGACTTCCCGGGCACGTAGAAGCTTCAATTAAACGTCAGGTGAATTGTCTTGTGGGCTAGAATAACGCGAAAAAAACTGCATTTTAATATTCTCAACGGTTGCCGAATAAATTAGAAAAAACTGAAATTATAGCATGACCCTAGGGTCACGTATTGTATTCCGATTTTGGATGAAAATTTTTTGTTTCCGATTTTGATGATTTTCACAATGTTGATACCTTATGACATAAGGTAAATGCTGTTAAAAAATTTCGGTCGCACTTCAAATAGTTTTCGAGAAAAACGCATTTTTAATATGTGACAAGGAGCGCTTGGTTTTTAGCGAATATCTCGGGAACGGTTTGAGCTATCACAAAAATTTTTGCACCTATAGATACATATTTTAAATGCGCATATTTCATTCATACACACCATGACCCTATGTTGAATATTTTCCGAGATACAGGCGTTTAACTGTTTCAGAGTTGAAAATTTGAAACTGTTTTTGGGGTATATCTCGCGAACGGCAAGAGGTATGTTAAAACTTTTTATACTGGGTTAAAGATCTTTTGATTTAGAATATTTCGCCTGAAAACATCAATATCCTATGATGAATCGTTCAAAAGTTATGAGCGCTTAAAGATTTTATGAGTAAAAAATGCTCAAAAATGGACCAAAAAATTTGTTAGTTTTTTTAATTTTTCACAGACTTCCCGGGCACGTAGAAGCTTCAATTAAACGTCAGGTGAATTGTCTTGTGGGCTAGAATAACGCGAAAAAAACTGCATTTTAATATTCTCAACGGTTGCCGAATAAATTAGAAAAAACTGAAATTATAGCATGACCCTAGGGTCACGTATTGTATTCCGATTTTGGATGAAAATTTTTTGTTTCCGATTTTGATGATTTTCACAATGTTGATACCTTATGACATAAGGTAAATGCTGTTAAAAAATTTCGGTCGCACTTCAAATAGTTTTCGAGAAAAACGCATTTTTAATATGTGACAAGGAGCGCTTGGTTTTTAGCGAATATCTCGGGAACGGTTTGAGCTATCACAAAAATTTTTGCACCTATAGATACATATTTTAAATGCGCATATTTCATTCATACACACCATGACCCTATGTTGAATATTTTCCGAGATACAGGCGTTTAACTGTTTCAGAGTTGAAAATTTGAAACTGTTTTTGGGGTATATCTCGCGAACGGCAAGAGGTATGTTAAAACTTTTTATACTGGGTTAAAGATCTTTTGATTTAGAATATTTCGCCTGAAAACATCAATATCCTATGATGAATCGTTCAAAAGTTATGAGCGCTTAAAGATTTTATGAGTAAAAAATGCTCAAAAATGGACCAAAAAATTTGTTAGTTTTTTTAATTTTTCACAGACTTCCCGGGCACGTAGAAGCTTCAATTAAACGTCAGGTGAATTGTCTTGTGGGCTAGAATAACGCGAAAAAAACTGCATTTTAATATTCTCAACGGTTGCCGAATAAATTAGAAAAAACTGAAATTATAGCATGACCCTAGGGTCACGTATTGTATTCCGATTTTGGATGAAAATTTTTTGTTTCCGATTTTGATGATTTTCACAATGTTGATACCTTATGACATAAGGTAAATGCTGTTAAAAAATTTCGGTCGCACTTCAAATAGTTTTCGAGAAAAACGCATTTTTAATATGTGACAAGGAGCGCTTGGTTTTTAGCGAATATCTCGGGAACGGTTTGAGCTATCACAAAAATTTTTGCACCTATAGATACATATTTTAAATGCGCATATTTCATTCATACACACCATGACCCTATGTTGAATATTTTCCGAGATACAGGCGTTTAACTGTTTCAGAGTTGAAAATTTGAAACTGTTTTTGGGGTATATCTCGCGAACGGCAAGAGGTATGTTAAAACTTTTTATACTGGGTTAAAGATCTTTTGATTTAGAATATTTCGCCTGAAAACATCAATATCCTATGATGAATCGTTCAAAAGTTATGAGCGCTTAAAGATTTTATGAGTAAAAAATGCTCAAAAATGGACCAAAAAATTTGTTAGTTTTTTTAATTTTTCACAGACTTCCCGGGCACGTAGAAGCTTCAATTAAACGTCAGGTGAATTGTCTTGTGGGCTAGAATAACGCGAAAAAAACTGCATTTTAATATTCTCAACGGTTGCCGAATAAATTAGAAAAAACTGAAATTATAGCATGACCCTAGGGTCACGTATTGTATTCCGATTTTGGATGAAAATTTTTTGTTTCCGATTTTGATGATTTTCACAATGTTGATACCTTATGACATAAGGTAAATGCTGTTCAAAAATTTCGGTCGCACTTCAAATAGTTTTTCGAGAGCGAATATCTCGGGAACGGTTTGAGCTATCACAAAATTTTTGCACCTATAGATACATATTTTAAATGCGCATATTTCATTCATACACACCATGACCCTATGTTGAATATTTTCCGAGATACAGGCGTTTAACTGTTTCAGAGTTGAAAATTTGAAACTGTTTTTGGGGTATATCTCGCGAACGGCAAGAGGTATGTTAAAACTTTTTATACTGGGTTAAAGATCTTTTGATTTAGAATATTTCGCCTGAAAACATCAATATCCTATGATGAATCGTTCAAAAGTTATGAGCGCTTAAAGATTTTATGAGTAAAAAATGCCTCAAAAATGGACCAAAAAATTTGTTAGTTTTTTTTATTTTTCACAGACTTCCCCGGGCACGTAGAAGCTTTAATTTAACGTCAGGTGAATTGTCTTGTGGGCTAGAATAACGCGAAAAAACTGCATTTTTAATATTCTCAACGGTTGCCGAATAAATTAGAAAAAACTGAAATATAGCATGACCCTAGGGTCACGTATTGTATCCGATTTTGGATGAAAATTTTTTTGTTTCCGATTTGATGATTTTCACAAT